ATTGAGAGAGAGAGAGAGAGACATAAAGAGAGGGAGAGAGAGAGAGAGAGAGAGAGAGAGAGAGAGAGAGAGAGAGACATAGAGAGAGAGAGAGAGAGAGAGAGAGAGAGAGAGAGAGAGAGAGAGAGAGAGAGAGAGAGAGAGAGAAAGAGAGAGAGTGAGAGTGAGAGAGAGAGAGTGAGATAGAGAGAGAGAGAGAGAGAGAGAGAGAGAGAGAGAGAGAGAGGAGAGAGAGAGAGAGAGGAAAAAGGAAAGAGGGCGAGAAAGAGGAGTGACATGCCGTCTAACTTCTAAGTTATGCGCAATAAAAAGTTCACAATAAACTTGAAAATATCTGATATATTCTATGGGATGGTATGCACTTTTCTCTTCATTTTATTATCTTCCTCTTGTAGCACCTGCAAGGGTTATTTGCACTTAAACTGACGTCTCTATTCCCCACAAATGTAATAATAACCGGAGCTCGGTGTGTGAGATGTCGGGACAGCAAGACCCAGCGCAGACTCCGACAGACATTTCCTGACACAGGGGCCGGAATTACCTGCCCGACATTGTCCGACCCAGCCATGACTGCTCCGTCCGGATCGGGAATATATCGAAAACGCGGCGCTCCGCAGCAATTTGCGCCGGGAATGGCCGCTGCCGGTGCCGGCAAATGAAGCGTTTAGCTGCGGGGGGCGGCCGTCGCGGCGACGGCGCCTAATACGGGTAATCCGGGGTACGGGGCGGCCAGCTAATACACCCAGTGGCTCGACACCCGCCCTGCGGAATGTTATGAGGCCACGCTGCGAGCGGCACCCCGTCCCAGTCCCTACGTCTCCCCTTCTCTGTATCCCACTCCCTTCTATCCGTGTCTCTCTCTCTCTCTCTCTCTCTCTCTCTCTCTCTCTCTCTCTCTCTCTCTCTCTCTCTCTCTCTCTCTCTCTCTCTCTCTCTCTCTCTCTCTCTCTCTCTCTCTCTCTCTCTCTCCCTTCATCATTCGAGCTCTTTCCGTGCATTGTTACCTGCAAGTGATGACATTCCTTGGTCACACGACATACCATGCCTATGTGTATTTGAAATTTGTTTAGAACTTATAATTAGTGTGACCATCTGATTCTGTTCTGAGCCTTGAGATACGGTATGGCAACTGATTCAGAAAGCCTTCCAAAGCACTGGACGAGGCATAACATAATTTATCGAAACCCTGGAAGAAATGCATTATAAACTGTCACCATTAAAACGCAAAAAGTATATAGGTTCATCGTTCCCAGTCGGTTGCAATAACTATATAGGTATAGGTACGTACAATAAGTGTGTTTGCGTGTTATCTGCTGCTTACAAAATGCTTTTCTTTATCTCATTGATCAATTGATCTACGTGCTACGAGCTGGCCCGAAAATTGCGTTTTTGTTGTGTGTACAAGAAATGCGGCTGAAGTGCGACACTCCCCTGTCACACGGTGTTAGCTTTAAGCCAGGCCGTCGGCGTTGCAGTCTCCGGCCAAAAGCAAACCATGAGTCACGACTCGCGGCACGGGGCTGTTGGCATTGCACTTGCCTGTAATATCTCGGTAGGCTGATGCAAGAGACATCAGATAATGATTTAAAATGATTATGACTTAAGAATTTGTCGAGGCACTTACCTACACATATTGACCCTTATTCCTGCATTGGTTTTGTACATGTACTTACCTACCGGGCACAATATACCTAGGTAGTAACGAGGGAATGTGAAAGAGAAAATGCTGTCTCCTTAATTGAACCAAGTTAACTGTGTTGTAACAGGATGTCAGCTTAAGCTTACGTTTTACTACAAAAATACATTTTATGTATAAATGGTTTATGAGTTCCGAGGTTTTCCTTGAACCTCCCAGTCATTATTGCTCGCGAAAATCGTCGGCACCATCTATTGTACGAGACAGTTTACATCCCCCACAATCAGTCTAGACTGGGGAAGCTGACGGTCGCGGCTGTCTCCTACACGGCTCTGTCCACACAGAAGTGACAGCCACCAACAGCTCTGTCTCCCGCGGGACGGCACGGCGCACGGCGCACACGTCACCGCCTTGTTTTGTGTTCTCCAGGACGCGGGCCAATTAGCGCCAGTCGGCCCGTAATAGAACAGCGGCCGTGCCCACAACATAATCCCTTATCCCCCTGGGAAACGGCGCCTGCCAAATAATCTTTTCGTCTCCAAAATGTCGCGGCCACTCGGGGCCGGTGAGTGGTGTTAGCGGCCGGCTGAGCCGCGCGGCCGGATGACGGCTGAGCCGGGCGGCGGCGGTCGGCGTCATCAGCCGTCATCCGACAGCGGCCGGCGACAATCGCGGCGATCGGCGCCCGAGAGACGAGAGCGGCGCACAGTGGCGGCACTGATTGGATTGTGGTGGGCATCTGATAGACGATTTGGCCTGACGCGACGTCACAGCACCTTTCTGTATGCTTCGAGGGTTGTCGGTTGTCGATAAACAAAACCTATTATGGTCAGGAGCAGCAGGGATCATGTGTGTCTGATCAAAATCCCGACGAAATTTTCATTAAGAAAAATCAAAATTGGTGCACTGCCTACCGACTGTACCAAAGGCAGCAGTTACCAATGACCCATTTAAATAGGTAGGTATATGTACGAATGCTTGTTAGACGGCAAGAAGCAAGAAGCTCACGCGTCTTCAAACGACTAACTACGCCTCGGTTCGGCTTAGAATGAAAACAGTAGCTCAGCCCAATAATGCTGCCTGGATGTTCTTCTATAATCGAGAAAAAGTAATAAAACAGACAGGAAGCTTCGAGGCAATGCGGTGCGCCGGGGCATATGCATTGTGCCCAATAAAGTTTCTAGCCAATTCCAAGCACTCCTTGGATTTCAGACTCATACATCTGCTTTTCCAAGCGATGCGTCTCCGTGTTACAAAATCGCTTCTTCTGCCTCGGACAAGCTAACAGACGTACCGCAACTTTCCGGCAAGGTAAGGATTATTTCCACTGCCTGTGATAGAACCCCTCCCCACGTCCGGCGCACATCGGCAATCACAGTCGCTGATTGTCGACGGTCGTTGTCAGCGACGGCAGCCGCCACGCTCGTCAGCTCAAGAGGCCATCGAGAGCGACACAGCGCTGCCGTCGACGGAAGGTGGATGCTGCGGCGGCCGCGCAAATTGGTGACGACACAATTGTAAGGGGGGGGGGTCGAGTGGGACCGCCGAGAGCGTGGCACGAGAAACACAGCTCCAGGGTACAGCCATATGTGATTCGTTCGGTGCCTTGTTGGAGAAGGGAAGTGAATGGGAGATTACGTGAAGGGGCGAAGATGTCCTTCGACGAGAAATTGTCGCCCGTTCACATCATCTTGCATGTAAAAATATAATGCATAAAACCTTCTGTGCAATCACGCTGAGCCCTGTAAACGCAATAGTTGAGCAATACATTTGAGAGCCATCCCATCTCTTCTGGCTTTCTCTCGTCCTCTAAGAAGGTTAAAACGGATGAGGAGTTGGTAGTAGACGGCTGATCGAATGACTGGTTCGGATCGACAATTAATTTTTGTGTCATTACATATCGCCGTCCTATCATAAACAGTTCACACCTCCGGGCTCCGAACGGTCGATATCCATGCCGATCGTTGAGGAAATTACACCAGGGTGTTGGGGCGTTAATACTCTAAATCACGTGAGAGAAACGCCAACCATTTTGTGGTAGCACTCCATCCCCCTTCTCTATCACGTACACCTCCGTTCTCGCCGGAGGAGACTCCCCACACATCCATGTGACACAAAGGTAGGGGGGCCACTCCGGCAGGGCCTACCTCTCTCTGGCGGTAATTAACAGAGCCCGGAATTATTGGCGCATTCCCCGAGCACTGCAATCGGCCGGGGAATGCCATCGAATTCCGGACGGCCGGTGGAGCGCGGCGACGAACATCCGTGGATGGGAATCCACTGGACGAGTCACGAGCGCAGATGGGGAGAGCTTCTATCCATCTCCCGGTGGACGAAAGTCCAGTGGAGGAGCGCGGATGGGGAAAATTTCTTTCCATCCCCGTGTGGACATCCCAGCGCCATTTGGACGGGAACGGAGAGGAGAGAAACCATTGGGATAAGACGAAATGAACGGAGAGAAAAGGAGGGGGTGAGGGGCTACCCATCCACTGCGGACGTTTTCGCAAAACTGGACGGGATGTCCCTCTGGACCTCGAGATACTTTACTTCCGAGTTCCGAGGAAGTTGGGGACATTTTGGCCATGAATATTACACAAGCACATCTCAGTTGGATCCACGGCTGCGGAGTCGATGGAGGTGACTTCGACTCCGGGCAGAGCTGACGACTCCGACCGACTCTAACTCCGACTCCGCACCGCAGCCCTGTCAGGTCTGCGGAGTCGATGGATTTTCGGCGACTCCGGCTTCGGGTCCGGTTTCCAAAATCGACTCGGAGATTAGACTCCGACTCCGGTCAGAACTGTCTACTCCGACCGATTCACACTCCGCAGTCTGGTTGGATAAACCCCACAGACGCCCGGCATGCCTAAAAGGGTAAAAAAGATGCCAGCAGAGGTAGGATAAGTTCGTGAGACGTCTCGGTCATCGCTTGGGGCAAATTTGCTGTCTAATCCGATTAATCTCTTAGGGAGTATTTAGGGATAATATACACTATGGCTGTCGTGCCAGGCTCGCTGCGTAAATATGTCGTGGTGCGTACGCCCCTACACCAAGACGGCCTTGAAATGTTTTGGGCTTCACAATCAACTGCTGATTTGCATATTTTTAATCAACCGAAAAAAACAGCGCACCGTCCCAGGTCCTCACTCCTTGTGAGCGGAGTTATTTAGCACGCTCGGACTTCACCCCATAACATCGAGCAACGCACCTCTGCGCCGGCCATCCCTAACGGAGCTCGTATGATCCCCGTGTCTGTCCATCCTCTGTTTATAGTCCAGTCGGTCACTATTCAGCCGGGACCTCCCTGAGCCGGGCATCCTCCAATAACGCAACGCAGACACGGAACTTGTCTCAATAGCGTGACTACGTATTGCGCGACATTTTATTTCATTTGACACTGGTCACAGGCTCACATGTCCGGCGTGGCGCGCGGTGGAATGTGGCTCTCGCTCACACGTCTCTGCACCCGATAATCACTCTGTCGCTCCCGATTCCCTCCACACGCGCGGCGCGGCGCGGCGCGGCGCCGAGCGACGCCGGCCCACCGCCACTGGCTACGGACGATATAGGTATATACGGATAACCTGGCTCACTACGCTCTCACATACGGGACAAACACACTCTGTACATTGTGTCGACCCTCGGCGCAGCGGCCGAGAAAATAATAACGTCTGAAACGATTTCGTCACGGCGCCTCGGGCCCGCCGCCGTCTGCAGCTGCGCGGGGGCAGCTCAACAAACAGCCGGGCGGCCCAACTATTCGATGGCACCGATACGAGGCAGGCGCCGCGGCAATAGAATATACAACTGATCCTAGCTGGCCGTGCGCGGCGCACATCAACTATACACGCACATGATTAGGGCGGCCGGGCGGCGGGGACTGGGTGGCCGCCCCGGCCCGGGCCGGTGGAATGTACAGCGGCCGTGTGCCCGACACGTGCCCACGCTCCTGCATACCGACTCTGAAACACGCCGCCGGGAGGGGGAGATATCAGTCTACTGCGTGAGCAGAGCACAGCTAGGGGAGGGGGGGGGGGGGTTCAGTACCACATATAACGCCTAAAAGGTGTCACATACATAGCTGCTAACATCCATTACCACATTGCTACTTTTTATGTCCCACCGATCGACTGTTCATAACCTGCCCGATGTCTGACCGTCGTCAAATCACAGTGCCGACATCTCACCTGGAGCCTAGTCCTCCAGATTCCTGAAAGCCTGCTGCATCTCTTCGTGTAGCGCCTCGAAGTCTGCCTTGATCTTCGCCTCACCGTCCTTGACGGGGTCCTACGGAGAGAGACAAGTGGGCGTTTACAACCACTCAGTATTGGCAAATCGGCCAGTGCGGTGGCGGCAAGTCTCAAATGGTCAGTACAGAACTCGAAGAAAGCGACCAGAGATAGCACTCTCATTGATCTTTGCACGTAAAAAAACTGGATATCTTATCGGAAAAAAATACGTTTTGACTTGACCAATACGTAGGCCAATACATTTCCGTTGACCAAAGGCCGGACAATACTGTTGAACAATGCTAAGGCAGGACAGATCAGCCCAAAGAAAACCGGGTGTTTTAGCAAACAATTAAGGCCAAAACTTGGAACAGTTCTTTCTGCAACAACCTAACACTAGGCTCCAGCCTCGTTCAGTCACGTACCTTGAACTTCATGGAGGAGAGCTGGTACATGGTCTGCGACATGGTCTCCCTGATGACGTTCCAGGTGATCTTGTTGTCGGCCTGCGCCGTCGACTCCACCGCGTGGCGGGCCAGCTCGTAGAAGGCGATCATGTTCTTCAGCATGCCCACCGTCTTGTAGAACGGACAGAACCGATCGTAGGGCGTGTAACTGCCGGACGGGAAAACAATAGTCACACTACAGGCTACAGGAGATAAAACGATAAAATCGCTACAGCTTTAGTGAGTTCATATATAGAAGACCGAAATCGAAAGATTTCCCTTCAGGTCGAGTTTATTATTTCATGTTTTGTATTGATTATTTTTACTCAGTGGTTTTACAATCGACACCATCCACTAGTAATTCAGGAAGCAGGTCCATTCACCCGAAGTGTCAGAATGTGGGAGCGGTGCAGCAATGCTGTTGCAATGTCAGGAATCGCACACTTACGTTACCGCAGGTAAATACAAATTCCAGCACTACGGATGCCATCATTCGCATCTCTGGACGACATGCCATTTCTGATTAGAAGCCAAATCAATGACAGACGTAATCGAGGAATGGGCTCATTTTCTCATTTCTGATAGTTGGATATGCAGCTACTAGACTTGTAAATGATTAACCCATTTACGCCCTTCGTTGCGTTTTCGCAACGCAAGCAAGCGTCGACGTGATCGAAGCTTGAGAAGTGTGTAAAAGAGACTAACCGATGAGACAAGTTTCAGCGTGTGTAGCATGGTTGTGCGCATGATACTACGCAGTTACAAGTCTGTGCGGCCGGTAAGTTACTGCCTAGAGCTCCCAGAGGGAAGTCGAAGGTTTTGTGAGTGATGACGTCACGAAAACCAAGATAAGTAGGCTAAGTGCTTAATAATATCGTAATGAAAATTGTGTAAACATATTCTGTAGAGTCCCTACAATAGCGTAGATATGCATTTTGTTAAGAAATAATGCTACAAAAAGGGTTTGTGACTATTTTCAAATATGACTACGGTCGCGTTGCGGGAACGCAACGAAGGGCACATCGGAAAGACAGCGGTGTTGCGAAAACGCAACGATGGGCACATTGGCAGGGTAGCGGATGTATGAATATCAACAGTAGACTTCACTCGTGATACGCTGTGGGTTCTCTCTTTCTCTCCCCCATCTTCCTCCCTCTCCTCCTCGTTCCCCAACTCTCTCCCCCTCTCTCTCTCTCTCTCTCTTTCTTTCTCTCTCTCATTTTGTAGCCATGAGGCTGTAGCGGCGAGAACATCTTCAATTAAGGGGGGGGGGGGGAGCACTGCTGACTTTTGGTCTCATTCTTTCCATTTCCATTTCCATGCAACGCCTATCGGGATAATGTTAAAATGGCAAAATCAAGGGGGGCACGGTGCCCCGGTGCCCCCTCCCCCCGCTCCGCCGCCTATGCCATGAGGGACGTATATAGGTATGTTTAGTGCAAGGTGCGTTCGCACGTAAAATGTTGCGACACATTTCATATTTGCTGGCTCAAACAGCCACAAACACTCCTTTCTTTTCTCTCGCAGATTTTCGGCCTCGGGCTGTTCGTTCACTAAGCAATGTGTTCCCATGCATCTGAAAATCGCATGGTAGGAAAAAGGACCCATGCATCAAACGGTCGGCGATGCTTACGGAGCTGAGAGATAATTAGGTCCTTTGGAAATTGGATCTACTATGTAGGTACATTGTGCATAAATAATGAATAACGGGGATGTATTCTGGTATCAGGCGACAGATAGGCATCGCCATTCTCTGGATAGAATCTGCTGACTACCAGCATTTACGTTAGAAAAGATAACTGAGGGTCGGCAAATAGTGGGATAGGCCACCTCTGAGGGTAGCTGAGCCCTTCGGCAGGGGTAATGAGGGCGGACCCATGGGAAAATAATAATTTTTAGGATTCATAACTCGCATAGATTCATAAGCTGCTTGATGTGGAGTATACGCCTGTTTTCTTACTTTGATAGGCTTTTTATCTAATCAGACCATTTTTAGAGCTAGCAGGATTATTGGAATTAGGGGAGACATTTGTCTGACCGGACACGGTCAATCGTAGACTGGAGACTGAGCCCAGCCAGTGGGCAGCCGTCACCCATGACCCACCCCCTTCCCCCCTCCCAAGCACTCACTGCACCCGGCTACAGGCGCGCTCCTATGTGAGCTGCCCGATTGCGATATACGTTGCCGGTCCAGCCCGGAACAGGGGGATGAGGCGTGGAGGAGGATTCAACTATCCTGAAGATGGAAAGGACGGATTGACGTCGAATCACCATTCTGTCCTGGCATTGTCTCGAGAAAGAGGTTACACGTGAAGGTCGCTGAGAGTGGGGCCATGAAAATTTTGGATTAGGTGTAAACATGATAAACTGGGAGTCGATTTGTTGTGATGCGCTACGCCGTACGCGGGTAATTTGTTAGAGCCGGATCGGTCCTTTTTTTCTCTTTGCTGAGAGTGGGTACGACTAACCTGCAATGGAATTTAACTTTACTCCTAGGAGGGTGGTTAAAAATGATTGCGGATATACGCGCATACGAGAGGCACTGGTTTACTCCCAATCCTCCGTTTAATTGTATTCAGTGTGCACTGTGCAGGGTCTGATAGGTGGAGGTAATGGATCTGTCTAGCTTCCAAAAAGAAAGCATCACCCTGGATACGTGTCGACCACAACTTTAAATGAACAGCAATGGACAACGTAAATGGTTGATAATGACCGTGTTGCCATCTCCCCGTTCGCGAATCATGAAGTTATGCTTCCTCACTGAGGCTCTTAGGCGGGTTATAGAGCATGACGGATGTGGGTTCCGCATTTTCAAGCAATAGTTGTCAACAGTTGATTGATGTTTTGTCAAAATATATTAGCATATACGGCAGTTCAGTGTACTTTATGTCCGTCTGATGTGCCCGTCGTTGCGTTTTCGCAACGCTGATGGCGCCCGGTGTGCCCTTCGTTGCGATTTCGCAACGCATGTTTTTTACGTTTTTCTCGAGAAACTTTTGCTGCAGGCAAAAATTATTTTCGATTCCATACAAGGCCCTGGTAGGAGCATAACATATTTTGATTTCGTCGATTTTCATGATGGTCAATATTCCTGGGCATAAATGGGTTAAAAACCTCGCCCTTCAGCATCGAAAAATAGCCACTTTGGCACAGTTTGTTGTTATGCAGCGCAGTGAAAATCACGTGACATTTGCTAGTTCTGCTTCCGGCCGCGGGAGGAGGTAACGCCAAAACAACTAATCACCCGAAGTTTTTTTTTTCTCTGTGAAACGCCATGCATAACGGTGACTTAGACCTCCGTGTCAAACAAAGCTCCCGAATCACATCAGTCTACCGTCCACCCCGCCCGTCCTCGCTTCCCTCAAACGTCCCGTCCGACTCACCCGTTCTGCTGCAGGAAGTCATCCTTGAGCAGTTTGGCCACCTCCAGGGTGATCTTGTCCGTCTCGGCCAGCGACGCCTTGCCGACGAGCTGGACAATTTCCGAGAGGTCCTCCTCCTCCTGCAGGATCTCCTTGACCTTGGTCCGCAGGGCGGTGAACTCCTGGAAGTTCTTCTCGTAGAAGTCGTCCAGCGCGCGGATGTACTTACTGCGGGGAGGCGGAAGGACGGAGAAAATTAGCGGGATGTGCAATCATGGACAGCATGTAGTCTCAGCTTATTGCTCAGGAGAATGTCGGAAACAGACCATGCAAGACAGACAGTGCTTTTAGACAGGTCTGAACAGACTAGGCCGCCGGTCGTGACAAGATACGGAAATAACAACGATTCTAGACAATTTATCTTTAACACCCAGCTAGCATTAAACCGCAGCCACAGACGGCATTCTGAGACAGCTGAACTAATATAACCGGTAAGTGGCAACCTACCACTATAATACAAAACCAATGATCGATGATATTGAATGAATTAAAATGAATGAGATGAGCAACCAAAATTCGGTAGGAAAAGAGACTACAGGCAACTTATTCGCGACAAACCGTCCTCACCTGTACGAGATGAGCCAGTTGATGGAGGGGAAGTGTTTGCGCTGCGCCAGCTTCTTGTCCAGACCCCAGAACACCTGGACGATACCCAGGGTGGCCGAGGTGACCGGATCGGAGAAATCTCCGCCGGGCGGCGACACGGCGCCCACAATCGACACGGAGCCCTCGCGGTTCGGGTTTCCGAGGCAGTTGACGCGGCCGGCGCGCTCGTAGAAGCTGGCCAGCCGGGCACCCAGGTAGGCCGGGTAGCCCGAGTCGGCCGGCATCTCAGCCAGACGACCGGAGATCTCACGCAGCGCCTCGGCCCAGCGCGACGTCGAGTCAGCCATCATGGAGACGTTGTATCCCATGTCGCGGAAGTACTCGGAGAGCGTGATGCCCGTGTAGATGGAGGCCTCTCGGGCGGCCACGGGCATGTTGGAGGTGTTGGCCACCAGCGCCGTACGCTTCATGATCGACTCGGTCTGACCGCCGATCTCGACAGTCAGCTCCGGGAAGTCACGCAGTACCTGAAACACACGGCGGAGGGGTTAGTTATAAACGGGACTGTCACGGCAAACAAAACGAGAGAAGAGAAACTGGTAGATGGTGTGTGCCTGCGGGCAACCGCGACTGTAGGTGTGGACGTTATTTGTTACGTGAAACGAGTTCCAAAGGGCACACGCGGATGACACATGAAAATTCGCCGTGAAGAGGCAAGGTGGACGAAACTCAACCCATAACACGTCAGTTTAGTGGCGACATCCCATTACGACACTATGCACGATTCAGCTACCTATCAGCATAACCCGAGCTACCGCGACTTAGATGGCACCACCTCCCTGTAACTGACTGCGGACGCCGCACGGCCCGCGGCAGGGCGCCCTCAGAACCGCCACCTACCATTCAGCCGCCTCTGCGACTCTGTTCCTCACCTCCGACATCTCATTTCCTCGCTCTCCACAGCCGACGTAGACGATGACGTCCGAGTTGGAGTACTTGGACAGCGACTGAGAGATGACAGTCTTGCCGCAGCCGAAGGCGCCGGGGATGGCCGTGGTACCGCCCTGCACACAGCTGTGGGGCACGGGGCGCGATGGGTCAGCGGGCATTCATTATAATGATCAGACGGAGAAATACGGGCGTCAAATATCGGCAATGAGCACCGGTAGCGGTGCTAAACGGCACCAAGTGACGATACAGACAACAAGATGACATTCACAAGATAAAAATCCCACTAAAAAAATCCAACAAGAAAAATCCCACTATAGCATGATACAAAAACCACGATGCGTTGTAGCTCACATGAAAACTTTGTACCCCTCAAACTCCAAGTTCCCCTCACCCACACTACTCTATCGGACAGCCACCCTCTCTCTACCCTCCCCAGTGACAGTCCTGCCAGCACGTACGGGAAGAGTGCGTCGAGCACGCGCTGTCCGGTCAGCAGCGGGTGGTTGGCCGGCAGCTTCTCGTTGACGGGCCGCGGCTGACGCACGGGCCACACCTGCAGCAGTGTGTGCTTGGTCCGCTCGCCCTCAAACTCCGTCTCCAGCACCACGTCATCGACCGTGTAGTGGCCCGCCTGGGCGATGTACGTCACCGTGCCCTTGGCGCGCGGCGGCAGCATCATCTTGTGCTTGATGAGCGTGTTCTCGTGCAGCATACCGTACACGTCGCCGCCGGTCACGTGGCTGCCCACCTGGGGAGTGGATGGGGTCACGTGAGCGGCCGATCGAGTGGGATCGTTCAGTGAACTGATAGAGCGGCGGCTGATAGCGCGAGTCGCGAGTGGCTTGAAGGGTCAAGATTGACGATAACACATGAAGTTCCCACATAAATCAGACGGCTATCTCAAAGTCAAATATTAGCAAAGGCAGTCACATGACAATGACACATGAGAATTGAAACACATTAACCATTTTCACCTCCCATTCAATGCTCACACCTATCTCGATTATCCACGCTGATCGAAGGTGTGTTACTCACCTTCAGCACTCCCGGCTGGAAGTCCCACTCGGCCGTGCGACTAAGCGCGGGCGTGTTGATACCCTTAGGGATGTAGATACTCTGTGTGAGCTGGTTAATCTCCTGCAGTGGACGCTGGATACCTGCGGACGCAGACAGACACGGACCGGTTTAGTCAACGCAGAACTGAACACAACCAGTCGAGTTATACGGCCACCGTTAGACAAGTTTCTCAAAGCAACAGAGGATATTCGAATTTGCTATCTTGACAATGCAGTAATGCCACGCCACATATATGACATGTGGTGCTCTCATTTCGTTCTGAGGGGCAGCTTACCGTCAAAGATGGAGCCCATGATGCCTGGTCCGAGCTCCACCGAGAGCGGTTTGCCAGTACGCAGCACGGGGTCGCCCACGGTCACACCAGAGGTGTCCTCGTACACCTGTGGGGGGCACGGGGTCAGAGGTCACACACAGGTCACACCGGAGGTGTCCTCGTACACCTGTGGGGGGCACGGGGTCAGAGGTCACACATGACATAGGTCACACCAGAGCTGTCCTCATACACCGGTAGAGAGCATGGGGTCAGCACCAGTTGAAAATTACGGAAACCCATAAATATAATCATCTGGAAACGCATTCCGTTTTAGCCACTGCACTGCCACCAGTCATCAGTCACCAGACACCGAGCAGCGTCAACTCCTAGCCCATCCCCTCTCACGAGCGACCATTCCCCATCCATAGCCTGGCCCTATCCGCGCCGTGCCGTACCTGAATGGTGGCCATGTCGCCCTCGAGTCGGATAATCTCTCCGACCAGCTCGTAGTAGCCGACACGCACCAGCTCAAACATAGCCGAGCCGGACATGTTCTCAGCCGTGACCACTGCGAGCGGACAGACGGGAAAAGAGTCAGAGGTGAGGTGAGGTGGGGGGGGGGGGGGGGCTGGCACTTTCAATAAATATCAGTGGTACAAACTACAAACATTCCAGAAACAGGGGGATGGAAATCAGAAATACCTTTTTTTTTAGCTAAAGCACTGCAGTATGACAAATATGAGCATTGGAAAACTCACCAGGTCCGGAAACGGCGAATACATATCCAAGCTTTCCCTCTTTCTCTTCATCTTGAAGTTTTGCCAAGTTTTTGGCACGGCTCATTCCTCCCGCCTGAAAAAATGCCAAAAATTAAAATGGACCAGTCCATCTACAGTAGGTACTTGTTTCTCTCCACAATCGCTGACACCATATACTGAGATGCAGTGCCAAGTGGTGTACACTGCTAATGCAGTGTGATGTGTTCCTGAAAGGTAGTCAGATATATACTACAAGATGCTCCTCAATGAAGTTGAAACATGATCTAAGATTGATGAAATCTCCATTCACCAGCAAAGAGGGCAGCAGGGCCCATCAGTTGCACAGGCATGGTGGATACTGGACAGTGGCACATTGCTCAAACAGCAGAGAGCAGCTGCTGCTGACAGCTGCTGTTCTTGGCTGTCTGCCAGCAGACTGCTGCAAGACATGGTACCAAGTGAAATAACATATCTATATGGATGCCTTGGCCCTGTTTCACCGGTGATAGCAGCACGCTGCTTTTACACGTGTCAAATTGGGTTTCCATGGAAACATCAACAGGCCCATTGCTCCAACACTACCACAAGTGTGACGTCAGCTCGCGCAATTTGATAGCAGCTTGGTAGCAGCGTCCCGTGAAACACCGCCCTTATATCTCCAGTCTATTACCAAATCAAATCAGACTGCTGTGAGACATGGTACCAAGTGAAATGACATATTTATATGGAGGTCTTATATCTCCAGTCTGTTGACCAAATCAAATCATGACTGTCATTTGTGAATATCCCAGACTGCATATAATGAAAATGCTGATGAAAATGACTTAGTCAAATATCAATGCAGAATGCTCCATCTCGTAGCTATGAGTGGAGGCTTTGTAGTCCATTTTGGCAATGGCACCAAGACTTAGCGTGACTTTCTTTGCTGATTCACAGTGCAGATTTGTTCTGGTATACTGTAGGGTTAATTTGATGCCGGTGGCACTGACTCAGTCAGCAGGGGCATACTTTTTAACAGAGCTATTTGCTGAACCAGATAACAGAGAGCCCTATGCCAGCTAGCATCAGATAAGTTAAAAATAGCTGCAGTTCCAAAACAGGCCATAAAAGTCTATAGGTGAACCTAAACATCAAGCAGGATCTCTTATGACTAGTTACTACTTTGGATCATGTAACAATGATACATTCAGTCAGACAGAAACCAATGTTTTATACATCTTCTGCATTCTGCACCACATCCACACTGCAACTAAGGATAGAAAAGCAGCTCAGCACTCTAGCAAGGGGAACAAATTTGTGCCAGACTACCAATCTGAATCAGACTGGAAAATAATACCAGCCTGTAGAAAACAAAGTCTACAAATAAGACTGGACCAATATCAATCTACAGCCAAAAGGGTATGAACTAGTTAGTAAACACCAACCAGCAGACAGAAAGTTGGTACCTACATAGAAAAACAAAAGTGGATACCATGTCACTGAAGGTTCAGATGAGTTGAAGGCTGGGGAAACACCTATTTAATGCCTGCCCATATAAGATAAAAATGCCCAGGCTGCGATGTCAGCCATCAGGTTACTTCACTCAAGGCACCTGAGTGAAGTTTACAAACCCTGCAAGGCTTTGTAAACTAAACAAGGCAGGCACCATGAGCATGTTGAGTTTCATGGAAAATTGGGAACATTGACAAACTCCAGGGTATACACATGTGATAAAGTACAGTTGCTAAAATGGTAGGTTATAGGTTGGTAGGCTGTAAGTTCTAGGTTTAAGGTTGGTACCTGCCTAGGTTGTAGGTTTATGGGTTGTAGGTTGGCAGGTTCTATGTTTTAGGTCAGTAGGTAGGGTTAGGTCAGGTTAGATTGCTTTTTAAATTCACCATACTTCATCTTCACTTTTACCAACTCCAGTGCTCTAACATGAGAGTGCATCCAAAGTTGTTAATGTTTCCACTCAAACCCAATATCATGATACCAGTAGGATCAGGTAGTATCCAGCAGTGAAACAGGGTCAGGAGCTTTTCCAGTAGAAAAATAACATGTCAACAGCATATATTAATCATGTCACTTGTATATATCATTTATAATGCATGTAACTAATGACAAAATACTGTAATACCATTGTAACTTACATGGCTAGCACGAGAAGGCAATCAGAATGAGGTTGAGGTTATGATTAGGCACAGATCAATGGTGATGTGTTGACCACTGCATAATAATAACTGCTTTAAAGTGTGAATCAGGGAGAAAGTCAAACCACATGAGTTGATGGCATATAAATCATATCCTCCTCAAATTCCATAAAAAGACAAGAGGCGATCTGAGTCGCGAGAAAACTACTTACTAGACTGATACCTTACAACAAACAGCCATAAAGCGAGCAAAATAGAGACGGCTAATGGGTATAGATAACTAAAAGATTGCACTTACCATTGTGTCTTTCTATTTTACTCCAAACAAGAAGCAAACAATCAACCGCGACCCGACACCCGAAACTCGAGAAACGAGTGCGGCGATCGACGAGGCACAGCCGCGTGAGGTCACACGATTCGATGTACTTCATTTTCACGAAGTACCTATAATAGGTGTTTTAATGGCCATAAAGTCATTTTTTTGGAAAAAATAATTGATGTAGTGAAAAGTTATGAGCAATAGTTTGTATACATTAACACGAAATAAATGAAATCATATTGAAGTACAGCAATTGCTAGTTGTTTTCAGAATTCTTCTTCGGTAAAGGGACCTCAAAGACGAATTTTAGACCAGCCGGTATTTCTTTTGCAAAACCAGTGTGAAAGAAATGCTAGGTATCTGTAAGAATATTGGGAAATGCTTTGCTTTGTTATAAGCAAATAGCCAGTGGCGGCGGAAGGTATTCTAGGATAGGGGTGCAAACGATATTGAAGCGCCCCTTCCCGCTGGGCGCCCCTTACCATATACACGGTTGTAGTAACACAAACAGTGAAGAGACGTTTGACAATGTGACCTGTTAACACGTTCAGAATTACAGTTTTATGTAACGAGAAATAGTTAGGTACATTCCATAGCGTAAATGTAACCTTCATAATGTTCGTTTAGAACCAACCTCATCACCATATCATAAGATTCTCCAAATAAGGCATATCGAAAAGAGTTCCACGGTTCCAATACCTTCGTGTGGACTAGTGAATAAGGCGCCGAATCCCTAACTCGGTGACAGAGAATTGCAGGCCGGTAAGCAGCATGCCGCCTGGGCTGCACTGCACTATTGCATTCAGTGGTGTCATCAGTATCACGTCAGCCCTTCGGAACGGACATCCTGGCTCAATGTCATTCAAGCATTTGTAAAAAAATTCATTCCAACCAAACACTTCTGTATTTTGACAATGTACAGGACACACACACTCATTGTTTTGTGTCATTAGTGATAATATAAACGACAAACCGCCCCCGATAAATGTTACACAAACTAATTTCCTCTCGCATATCGGCCATCAGGCGCCCCTTTTTGTCGCATGGAGCCTGCAACGCTATAAGCCCTCATATGTTCGTGTTGGCGTTCGGAGGCTATTCGCCTTCAAAGACGTCTCCATAAATGTTTCTTTTTCGTCCCACACACAGGTGCCCTTCTTTCGCATGCAGGCGCCCCTCTTCCGCATGGCGCGCTTCTCGAGTGGCTGCGCCCTCCTAGCCTTTATCGCCTGGCAAGATTATATTCGACAGGGTCGGCAGCATCTGCATTTGTTTCAGATAAGGATGCCCTCCACTCTTCAGCATATCAAAAGATACTTTTCCCACGTCATTGCCACCCTCTTCGTGTCACAAGTGCCTTTATCAGTTGCGGTGTCGCACTGCTCAGCTTTATGGCTGCCGCACCTCTAAACTTCCTGCCTCCTCTACATATTTTCGAGGCGCCCCTTTCCATAACTTTAGGGTGCAGCTGCCCCCCTTGCCCCCCTGCTTCCGCCGCCACTGCAAATAGCAGTGACAACGAATGACGATATTATAGCAAGCTTCAACGCCCAATCATCCATAAAATGGATTAGTTAAATAACATTTTTTGTTCCCTGCTATCTGAAAATTAAACTGAAAAAACAGTGCTGCATTGCTTTCAGTCACAGACCTTTGATTGCTATGAAGTGTTAACTCGGTGTTAAGTTTACACCGAGTGTAAACTTGCCTATGAGCATAATGAGGTAAGAGGTTGAACTTGAAGCCCGGCTGTTAGTTTTTCAAAAAATATTCACATCTTACATGCAGAATATACGTCAGGTTAAGTTACAATCGATTGAAAAAGAGCAATTAGCAACGGGTTCTGGTCTAAAACTGGACCAAACGGTAGCCGCTGCAGCCCATCCCTTTGATATTTGTTGTAATGTCACCGACAGGTGGCAGCACATAGACATGATATTAGAAACAGGTGGCAGCACGCGTCAGGGGCTTTGGCCGTCCCGTCGTATGGATGGTGAACTTTGAGGAACGAGGGCGGCGATCCCGTTTAGTGGGTTCTTTGGGGGTTTATGGGTGAATGCTTGGTAGAGTTCTGTGTCCCCAAAATATGCATAATCGAGTTGAGTCACTACGATCCATGGTCTGGGAATTGCATCAAATCCCTCAGTTGCTATGATCGGTGTTGTATTAGGGACGATATCACTGTTAATTGCACTCAAAGAACATTTTTGATCATTGATGAACTTTTAAAATGTGCAAGAGTCTTATACTTTCATCCTCACCCTGCTCCCGTTTGTAAACAAACCCATTCTCATTCCCCTCTGAATGGTCAGAGGATCGCCATCTTGGATATAGTGTTCATCCGCACTGATATGTTTCATGAATGGAGAATTCTTTTACATCCGAACACCCATTAAATCTTCAAAAAATGAGTCATTGCAATTGAAAAATACTTTTTAGTCAGTATTAAATTTTTAATATATTCATGTAAGGGTCGGCGTCCTGCTGAAACAGACATATTCCAAATACTATGGTTTTGGTGCGAATATCGAGCTTGGGCGTTCAGTGGAACGTCGGCTCGCAAATGTCAGTGGTCGTCCATGAATTTTGTGACCAAAAATGAAGAGTCAAAAACGAAGATGGGGATCCCGTAAGGAGGGGATTTATGTGAAACATGACAGAGGGATATGAAGAGTAAGTAATTAAAGTCATTCGTACCTTTCCTGTGCTTTTACCATCGGTTTGCATGTGCGCCATTCATGTAAATCTGCTCTCAATTGGATTTTTGGCCCTGATGCATGTCTGTTGGAATTATACCACATAACTGGACCTGTTACTGTTTTTATTTTTTTGTATGACGTGTTTGGCATGAGAAACTGGTGAACGTTGTTGAGACTCGATAACTGCATAGGGATGTCGTGATATAAAGCTTGGGCGATAGTCAGTTTCAGACATGCAAGCCAGGCAGCAACTGATGATGAGCCCTTCTAGCCAGAGTGCCATCCACACCAGCACAGACGGACCAGCCTGAAAGTCTGCGCCACCTCACATTTTTAGAAGATTTATGCTATTTACTGCAGAATTTAGATGGTGGCGGTGCTAGCTAATGATGTAGAAACTGCAATTCAAGTCCAATTCCCTTATTTCATGCTGAACTGTGCTTTGCCTTCTGCATACACTTTTCCATTATAGGCCAAAACAGCAGTACATCATGGTGTTATACCAGTCCAATGCACTGAACACTAACCCCGTACACCATGACACCACATCAACATCACAGTAAATCAGCATTGCTTTGCTGAGTGCCCCAGCACCAATAAGACATTAAAATTGCAATGCCTTGCATCCTGGCTAAGGCTAAGCTTAGGCTCTTAGGAATGCAGTGGTGTATGCATATTGTGAGATGCCTGTTTGTTGCTAGCATTTTATTCTTGTCTTCCCATTGCTAACATAACTTATAAACTTATACTTGTCAGTCTTCTGTCCAGCTGTTCTAATTTATGCTACTGGATAATGTAGGACAATGTGAATAGTAGTATTACATCAATGTAATAGTGAAGGCAGTAATGTGAAGTTACCTGTAATAAGTGCCTCTTTATCTACCTGCTTCTCCTTGCTTAGGTACTTAACATCCACAGCAGTTGAGAAGCCAAAGCTATATGGTGTCTTGCCAGTTAAGCCATTTCATGCTATGGCATATGCTCCTTTAATGACTTGCCTGTTTTATTAGCCTGCCAATCTTCCTTCCACAACCATGGCTGATGTAGTAAGGAGTAGAAACCTGTTCTGCATAGAGCTGTGTCAATTCTCATGTGGGGCTGAATTCACTGGGATTGTTTGAAGGGTCCTTGCAAAATGTTGCCATGTTCCAGACACAGCTGAGCCAGTTCTTGAGGAGCATTAGCAGGGTCCTCTTTTCTGGAAGCTGAATGACTATTAGTTGACCACAGTAGCCCAGGATGCCTCATCAATGATTGCTGTTGCTGCATGGTTGCTGAACTTCAGTGTCACATAGACTGACTGTTCCTTCCATTTGTGTCTTCCTGCCCACAACAACATCTCTCAAGAAGTAATCCTGTTGTTACATGTGATGTGTTGTGTCTGTTTGATTGTTGTTGAAGTTCAGCTACAACTCTTCTTCTTTGTACTGTAGGAGAGAAGAAGCAACATTGAAATGCTCATGAAGGGTCATTGCTTCTCTTTATTATCAACCAGCTTGTTACCTTGGTAACCTGGCTTGAGCTAATATTTTGATGCTGTACCATTCAGGCTACTTGGCAAGCTGTTCAGATACAGAATGAACGTTTAAAACAGACTGGTAGCCAGCACAAACTTTTTTGACTGCTGATTACCTGGATCCAGTCAGAGCAGGAGCTGCCACGAAATCTCTCATATCGTGGCATATCGTGGCATTGAAGAAGGCCCCAATCCATGGCAGTATCCAGCCTCAATTTCCATGTGCTGCCATCTTGGGGAGAAGCCTGCGTGTTTGACTGGTGCCTGACACACTTTGACAAGGCTGGCAATGCTGACGGGTTTACCGCATTCGACCGCTCAGCTCCAGTGCCCTGCAGCAACCAGCAGTTGCCGTCGTGCGTGAGCCGCGCAGACGGAACCTGTGCTGAGATCCGACGAGAAGGTCTTCAGCTGGTTGGGTTTATGCGTTTGTGTGCATGCATTACATTACAACCGCTGAAAACTCATCGGAGCTGACTCATTCGAGGCCGATTAGCTGATGCGGCAATTTTGCGCTCTGACCTGGCGAATGCCTCCAGCTACAATACGTTTGTCTTTATCACACAGCCAAGAGTGTCTTCAGCGAAATCAGTTATATCAGTCACATTCTACCGAGCTGATGTCCTGGACGGTGCGCACGCATAGGGAAAGCTTTTTTTGCCTTACCATTCCCAGGTCAGCGTTACAGTGAGGTGGAACCCTGGGCTGGCCATCCCGGTCCTTGACAAGAGGTTCTGAGATCTGACAACGGGCTGGAGATCCCTCTCAAGGTCTGTGGTATGAAGTCTGCGTGGGCCCCACATTTCAACAGATCCATACCTGTACCGTGTGGAAAGGTCATCCGCCAGTTTTAGGGGGCCCACGATCACCTCTGAGGGACTCCGGCTTCGACTGTGCCTCACTCCTCAGCTCTTTTGCTGCTTCAATCTTTTGCGGTAGTCGTTTATGTCGGGTGGTGCAACTGGCAGTATGGTTCCCAAGTTATTTGTTAAAAAGGTGTTTTTAAACGTGGCGATTTTGACAAAGAGATAGAAAGAAACACATCAAAGTCTTTGATTGGTGACGCTGTAGTTTGTTTTGTATTCAGCCGTGAGAAAATAGCAATAATGGCACCAATATTAGCAGGCGTTGACTTTTGCGGAGAGAACGATCTAACGTTCTCGCTCAGCTTTGGAGTACGGGCAAGGTTGAGTATGGGCGCAAAATGCCTTATAGTCGGCGTGCCCTGAAGCCCCAAAAACATACAAACAAACGAGAATGAGTAGTTCACTAGTTCATGAAACTTTACCGTGAAAAAATCACGTTGGTTATCACCTTGGCTTATGCTCATATGGTGTAGTAAGCTTAGGATGGTATAAAAAAAGACGCAAATTGTATAGTACGTTTTATAACATATCGTCTGATGTGCTTGGTTTTTGCTTCTCCTTTTTTTGTGGACTTGATTTTTGTGAGCCTTATTTTTGCGCTTTATTTTCTGCGTTTTGCAGACAAGTTTGGAATTTGGTACAGGGTAGTGTTCACCGAACTTTTAGCTTCTTAAAAGCGCGATTGTCATGTTTGCTGTCGATTTTTGCTAGTTTTTTTCTGCCCACCCATTTCCGTATGAATGTTTGCTTTATTGTTACGCATGGTTCATTGCTATGTTCATTGCTGAATTTCGGCATAGCAAACCAACGATCTGGGCCTCGTTTCATAAAAGGAATTACTTACGGCATTCCGTCAATTATGCCAGATTTGGCGTATTTGATGCCAATTCGGTTTCATAAAGCCGGAGACCGGAGTAATTCACGCCATCGAAATTACGGAGCTTCATTTACGGCAAATGCTCGAATCCGGACCAATTGATGCCATTTGGGTTTCATAAAACGACGTAATTAACGCCAACTATTTTATCAAGTTCTTGATATCAGTGGTGTAAACTACGCACAAAAATGTTGCGTGAATTTGAATTAATGTGAAGATTCGAAGCTAATTTTTAATATATTTTATAATGTTGAGCCCGGTGAGGAAGAAAGAACAGCCAAAATGAGAAAAAGAAACTGCAAATCTTCTGTACCAGTCGCTTTTTGTGGCAGCTATCGGAATTTTGTTTATTCGCCGCGCCGCGCCACTCTCGTAGTAAGGCACTTCTGCTTAGCTGGCTTTCTGCTGTTTTCAATATATTGATTTAATAAAGGATGGTCAGCAAAATCGTTTTTGTTTTTTCATAAATAATTTTTACGATTTAATTTCAACATAATTGTTTTATAATTTCTTTAAAAAAATAAGTGTTGACATGAAATTGTAATTTGTAGGTCGCTTGATAAATTACGGTAACTACGCAAATGTGCTTAGTTACGGAGGTGTAAACAATTCCAGTTGTGGCTTTGTGAAACCGCTTCATTTGCGCTCCGTAGTTTGAAAGGGTGTGAATTACGGAAAGGTGTAAGTTACGGCAGAGTTTTATGAAACGAGGCCCTGATCTGATAATAAGTAGGTACCTGTTTGCTCGGGTTGTGACAGTGTTTGGGTCTGATGTGTGGTCCATTGAAAGGGCGCCTGTCAATGAGTGAGCTCACGTTGTCGTGTCGGCTCGGACATTCCTCCGCACCGGCCGGCCGCCGCCGCTGGGGACCGCTGGTGCGTGTCGGTCGTTGGCACGCATACATCGCCGCGGCGGGGCTGTGCGAGTGGCGTGCTGCGCGTGGCGTGCTGCGCGTGGCGTGCCCCTTCCGGGCGTCGCGCCCCGACCGGACGTCCGGATCCCAGCGCGCGCCAGCGCCCGCGGCTGGTGGAGCACCCCTCTGTGGGGGAAGTGCAGGCAAACAGTGCCGAATTCCGGTGCAAGAGGGGGAGCGCGTCAGTCGCTGGGGATCGTTGTCAACGCCGCCCCTGGCGCGGCGTATTTGTGGCTGCCAGCCATTCATTACGTTTTTCACGCGTCCATTCATTCAGCCATTCATTCCTGTCTCGTTCATTCACCTGGGCTGGTTCCATTCATGTGTGATGGTGTGGTGATGGCTGGTTGCTGTGCAGATCACTGTTGATGGTCGGCTCCATACATTGCAATCCAAATGCTGCGAATATATACCTATCTTGTATGGGACAGTTTGTTTTGTCCAGTTTTCACATAATTGATGATTGATTATGAAAATCAGATTCCTCTAGAAAATGTTTTAAGGTGTTATCTGTGTGCTTTACCTAACTATGCAGTATGTACGAGTAACTGTTATAAAAATTGAAACGATCGTCAACCAACTATACCTTTATCGATCATGCTCAGTTAAAGTTATCCAATCCGATCCGTCATTATGTAAACCTTTCACTTGATGCTTGACTTAGATTCCTAATAACTTTAGGTAAATATGGAAATTTATTAATCAATATAGCTCGATGAAAATGGTTTCCATCTGTGACTGACTCCTTCCATTTTTTTTTTTTGCAAGCGTTGTGGTATTCTGCACCGCACCCCTCAGTGT